CCATCTTTTGTAAGAAATCATGATCTCTTATAATTACAAACAAACAAGAAGTAAAAAAAAATTTATGTGTTTCAAGATCGAATTGGTTGATTCAGGTCACAGACTTCTATTATAAAGAAAAAATGTGTATATGTGCAATAGTGTTACTTTATATGTTTGAGCAGACCTGTTACCTCCGAGTCATGTTTGGCGAACTTGTCGAACATGTTCGCGTACAACTGCTTCTCCTTCTGCTTCTGCTTCTGCAGCGCCGCGCGACACACTAGTATCTGATTGCCGGCCGCCTGAATCAAAAATATACATCATTTAACATACAGTACAACTAACTGTTGATCCTGACATTGTCTGCGTGAAATTGAAAAATAATAAAACTCCCTGATAATGTAGCTTTTTAACAGTAAAAGAATTTTTGACATCGGTGCAGTAGTTTTTAAGTTATTTCAATATGTACGTAATTCCAAAAGTACACATCTTTCGTTATAACATATGTAAGTACAGATGTATAGACAAATAAGTACACTTTTTACTCTTTTATTTTATTTATTTAATGTATGGAATACTATAAAATTATAACTAAAAAAAATCAGGTTTTTGTGGCATTCTAACATACATACCTTATTCTGAGGCTCAGCACTAACAACCTTCTGGAAATCTTCTATAGCTTGCTCCGCTTCTCCCAATCCGAGGAGAGCTTGACCTCGTCTGAACAGACCCTTTACATTCTCAGGGTCAAACTTCAGGGCCTTCGTGGCAAAGTCCCTCGCCTCAAAGTGATGGGCAGGAGTCACCTTTAGGTACACCAGGGAAAGGTTCAGGTATGCTGACAGAAGCAGCTCCTTAGCTTGAGTTTTGTTCTCTTCATTCTCCGATGTGTTTTCAATCATATCTAAATGTAGAATATTTATAAATTACTTGGGATACATAAAAAGTATTTTATGATCTATACTATTATAATAAAGCGTAAACACACAATTCTTTGTTGCCTAAGATGTCAGCAATTACAGAATATTTTCGACTAACACACTTTAGTCTATACATTTTCACGCCGTTAAACTTAGGGGTAAAAATTTTGAATAAAACCATAATGTGGGAAAGAGACCATAAGTTGTTGCCAACATTGAGAAAGCAAGGTTGCCATGGTTTGATATCATGTCATGTAATTTTGACATTTGCAATTGATAATTTGACAAATGTGAACAATAAAATGATTTTTTTATAATTCAATGCGGATGAAGTCGCGTAGGAACGGCTAGTCTATTATAAAAACCTATGAAGTGTGTACTACTTTTTTTATTATACAAAGGTACAATCAGGGATCCTGGTAGTGGTTGAATGATTCATACAATTTTAGATGAGGAACAATAACCAACAGGGTGCAGCTTTTGTGTCTGTACCAAAAAAGGTGACAACTGACTAAGTATTTAGTTTTATACCTTCATTTGCATAAGTCACTAACAATCAAAATTATTTATAAGAAAAGGCGCAGTGTGTCTTGTAAAAATGGAACACTGTGGATTTCCACAACTATACATTGCAAATATAAAATTTAATTGTCAATAAGACAAATTTTACCTTCAAGTAAGCTTGTAACCCTCTTGTACATTTTGATAGCCAGCTGGAATTTACTGTTCTTAAAGTATCCAGTCCCCTTCTCTTTGAATATCTTTGCTTGCTCCAGTTTTTCCGCCCCATCCATAGCCCAAGATTCTTTGGCTTTCTCAAAGTTAACTAATTTCACTATATACTCCAGTGTAGAGTCTGGAGGGACTCCTAGAGAGGCATTACCTTCAGATTTGTACCCATACTTGGGTGCAATAGTCAATCTGGACTTTTCACCTTTCTGGAACCTCTCTAGGGCCCTTTCAATACCTTCACATATATTGTTCTCTGTACCCTCACCAAGCGGGAAGCTTAATGTTCTTGTATCGAAAACTTTACCATCAGCTTGTAAACGCCCCTCAAGTTCAACTAAAAGATATAACAGATTAGAGATATCAAGAAAGTAATACAACAATTTGGATAGCTTATAAGGCAAAGGAAGGCCAAAGTATGGATGAATTGTGCAAAAGAGGATATCAACAAAAAGGGAGTGAATTCAGATATGAGAAGTATGGAAGAGTAGTACATACTATGTACCCTTGGTAACAAAGAAAGAAAAGGCTTTGCTAATATTGTATAATTATGTGTTAAAATAATTTGGTAATACCTGTAACCAATGCCCCATCATTAGGATAATCCAGTCCAGACCCTTGCTCAAGGATGTGCCGTAAGATTCCCTTCTTCTTGCCGGGACTGAGGTCTTCCACTTTCCAGTCAATCATTTCAACCTATGAAATTAAAAAGATTTTAAATGTATAACCAAATTCAATGGAAAATAGAAATTATGTTTTCATATTACTGGCTGACAATACAATTTATTGTCTATGGTTTAATTTAGAATGATTCAGTAATTAAATTAATCATACAAACATGACTATATTTATATAAATTCCAACATGGCTAAACTCATGTGGCAACCTTCATAGTAGAGAATAAAGCCAACAGTGGTAACCACTCACCCTGAAGAAGGAACCCTGACGGGTCTGAAACTGATCGGTGCCTACACCAAAGGTTTTGCCTTATTATAATTTATATAGTATAATGTCTCACAAAAGTTTTAATAAGTTAAATGACTACTTTTACCATAACTTATAAATGTGGGTTTAATTTTGAACATTTTAGTTCTAAAACAAGTTATTCTATTTGTACATTCTTCTCACAACAAAATTCCATGCAAATAGCATACCTCAAACTGCAAGGTAGAATTGGGTGGTATTTTAGGGGGGCTTCCCGCAGCACCATAAGCATACTCTGGGGCACAGGTTAGCACACACACCTCCCCTTTCTTCATAGTTGCCACACCAATATCCCATGCTTTGATCACTTCACCTGAAGCAAGTTTATTTAGGTATTTTTATGATTAATTAGCTTCCAATGCATAATTTATTATTATTCATACATATATAAATACAGTGTGTGATGTAAATGTGTTGTTGGCTGTTAAGCTTTTTATAATGGTGCGTTTTTGCGCTTTATTTATCATAGCATAGATTGTGCAAGAATGTCTTACATTATGTGTTACACGGAAGAGCAGGACTTCCTAACACAAGTGCCTATTGGTTACTTAAAAGGAAGTCCCTACAACTGATTGATTTATAACTTACTTGATTTAATAATAAAAACCATTTTTTATTTATTTTTTATAATGCCTCTAATCTCTTTTATTTAAGAAACAATCGAATTTATTGCCTTGGTGTTTATAGTGATTTACACATTAAAACATATAGAAATCTCAGTATAATGGATGTCCACAAACAAAATATAATTGAATCTCCTCCTTATTAAAGTTGGTTAAAAATGGAAAACCACATTAATTAAAAGTTTTTGTTCTAAACACATAAATAAGGGGTTATTTGTGTGGGAATGTGGTTATATGTTATCAACTAATGATAGACATAGGAAGTTGTTTCAAATGCCAACAATTTTGTGGTTATATTTGATTAAATTGATTAATTTTATTTAAATTTCATGAAATAACCTCATGAACTTTTGAATAAAATTAATTCAAAGCTAACTTTCCCAAGGTCGCTTTTAATTAGCCTCCGACATTGATAAATTGCTAGGGTAGATTTTACTAAGTTTACTAATTAGCTTTGTAGATGGGATAATAGAGTACTGCAAGTTTTTCGATCCACTTTTCGTTTTTTTTTCTAGAACAATTGGTCACAAACACAAATAGAGCGTCTACTTCTGCTGAAGGTTAATACAATGAGAAATACACGAAGCACGAAAAAATCTATAACTAAGTAATGTGCTGAATTCTGAAGTCTTCTAGTGCTTACCTTTGCCAAGTTGAAACTCGAAAGGTTCATTTCTGTCTTTACTAGAATCAAATTTAGTACCATCTAAAAGGGTACCGGTGTAATGTACGGTAACCTGACAACCAGGATTAGGCGTATCAGTTCCTTCCCCTTCTTTGATGATCCTCTTCAATACGCCACGGTCTCCAGCTTTAGAAATATCGATCCCTTCGTCTACAGTCATGTTTTATATTTACACAATTTAAAAGATACTATTGAATTATATGCACAATTACGCAGAATGCGTAAAATTCACCGGTGCAAAACGTGCGATGCGAATTGCCTTCACAGACAATGACAAGTTGACAAGAAACATCGACCAGAAATACAAACCACAGATATATAAATCATTACTATGGAAATTTCTAGACGATACCAAAGAGTATCGACTTATCACGTTAAAAAATCACCTTCATAAAATATTTGCTTGATTATAATATTTAAACGGAAAAACATATTTAATTGAACTTCAGATTTTTTTTTTACTAAATTAACCTTTAGTTAAAGCATTACATCATTGAACTCCTACCTAAAGTAAGAATCAGCAATAACTTTTCCCAATAATTCATATTTAGGGAAACCAAGCAATATAAATAAAAAACGAAATTAACATTCAAGATTTATTAAACTTATTTCAGTCTTGAGGAATTACTTATTTTACACTACAAGAGGCATGAGGTTCAAACAATTTTTATACTTAACAAACTCTAAAACATAGTTATTTATTGTGAGATTGGAAATACGATTGTTTTTAGACAGAAACAGTTTACCTTTATATTACTGTTATAATGTAACACATATTTTTAATTAATTGGTATAGGTAGTAAAACATTGTATTTTTATACTTAAAAGGAAAATATAGATGTACACTTTTGTTGTTGTTAAATATAGAAAGAGCAAATAAAGTTTGAACAAAACTTTATAGTTTAAAAGGTATACAAGCACAAATATGAGTCATTCAGACTTTGTTGGTAAATCCCTTCAATATTATGATTTTACAATGGTATTTACAATATACAATAACATTTTGAAATTAATTCTTGACTTACTCAAGGTTAAAAGAACAGCCCATCTGTAGTTTAAATATCTATGTACATATGTTTGACAGATTTAAAATTGAATAATTTTATCTAATATAAGCTTAAATGCCTCTAAAACTGTACAAATATTTCTCATAGAAACTAACAGTAATAATTTTTCAAGACAACTGGTAATCAATCAATGACATGTGTTAGGACATTCAGAGACATAAAATCTATAATGTTTTATAAATGCTTGGCTTAGAAGTTTCTGATTAGGCTCATGAAGCCATTCATCTGAGCCATCACAACAATCGCAAATCCCATCATTTACTTTACTTGAAGGTACTGTATTCAGTGTAACCGGTTTCTTTTTATATTGGTATTGGCAAAAAAACGTCCCATTCGGACATGCATTGGTGCTTGGCTCATCTGTGCCATCCTCGCAATCACAATAATCATCATTTACTTGTTCAAATGGTATTCGTGTTTTTGATATTCTGCATTCAAATTCATTTTTACTATCAGGCCTGTATAACTGTATATGTAAATAATAAACACCTCGTATAAGTCCATTTTCATTTATGTATTTGTCGTCTTCAGATTTTATGTGTACGACATCTTTTATTTGATGATCTAAAAGTGGAATGATCCGGTTTCCGTTTCCTGTCTCAGATGTGATTGTAAGAAAGAAGTACAACTGATATAGAATAAAAGAAAACACCACACACAAAGATACTATGATAACATTTTTCTTCTTTTTGTAACCCATTGTCTTTAACTGATAAAGGAAGTTCGAGTTTTTAGTAGTAACTTATTAAACAGTTTATAAAAGCTCATTGCATTGAATGTGCATTCGGTACATTTAATTGGAAAATCTAATTAAACAAACTAAATACATAAACCAACATTTCCTGCAAATGTCATTTGTCACTGTCATTCTGTCAATTATCAAACGTATTTGTTACGTAACTAGACCACAGACCATGTCACTCATTATAGATGAAAAAATTCAGCAAAGCATTATTTTTGTTTTTAATAGTTGTGAATAACAAAACATAAAAAAAATAACTCTCAGCTACTCACTCATTTCCAGTAAAAATGTTTGCGCGAGGTCTTTTTAAATCCACTTATTTCAGTTGGTGTCTATTTTAGAGCCTTGAAAACTATAGCCTAACCAAAAATATATAAATCCCTGCCTGAGGCTGCCGTAATAGGTTTCTCTATTACATCAATTATATACGCCAATAATTATTTCTATATAATTTAGCAATACGGTGAGGTTAAATATAATATAAGGTGTAAAATGTAGCTACACTTCCTTAAAACCTTGAAAAGATGCGGGGTTCCTTGCTATATAATCAAATATATGACACCAAATAAATAACATTTCTTTGTGTTATCTATACAAAACGAAAATGTAATTTTTAAAATTTTGTCTGTCTGAATGTTCGCAAATCGTCGTTTGTTCGTTTAATCTCCAAAACTGCTGTACTGGAGTGATTTTGACGATGTTTTACTGGAAGGTACCTATTACATGCGTGGTTGCAGAGGTAACTAAAGCTAGTTTTTTTTAAACTCCACACTGATAAAGTCGCGGGCAACTGCTAGTACTCAATACGGGCAAGGCAATTGTTTTTTTTATCAAACACGTGTTACGTGTGTATGCTATCTAGTGAAAGATTATTGTTTATCGAGGTTTTTACTAGTCATACCAAAATAACGTTTTTAATGTTACCTTTGATTTTAAATACGATTTTGTGATAAAAAAAAACTGTAACTACAGCTACAGATAAACACGTTTTGTTTACTGAAGTTTAGTTTCCCTTGATTAATTATTTAAATTTTGATGCAATGATTTCTTTCTTTACGACTTCTGAAATAATATTGTTGTTTTGAAATCAGCTTGTTTGTTGTATTAAAAGTAAAAATAATCCTGTTAAATCGAACAGACAAAAGTAAAAAAAAACCTGTTTAACGTTATAAGCAACTAAAACATCATGTTTGCGAAATTTTATTTTTTATTGTATTTTACAAATAGTCGCTCCAATTTTATCAATTGTATATATTGATTTAGATTAAGATCGTCATACGATTACTTAACATACATTAAAAAAAATCTCTCTTCATTTATTATTGCGCAATTCAGAATTTTAAAATTGATTTGAATTATCAGAATGACAGTTCAGTTTCTTGTCTATGGCACTCCCTTAGCGGATTGGGCCAGTGTCGAATCATCAGAATGACACGCTTATATCCAAAATATGGTAGTTACGTCAAAAATTATCTTTTTCATTAATTTACGAATACTTACATTATTTAATTCATGACATTGACTATTTCAAACGTTATCGCAAATTAATAATTTGATTGTAATAGGTTTAATTTGAATTTAATTTGAAATGACTTTTCAATTATATGACTCACACTACTGGTCATAGGCCACCCCTAAAGCTCGTCACAACGATTAGTGCTATACCATTACCACCTACATTCCACAACAACCTTGATCTTTAGACCTTTTACGGGAGGCTTACCCACGCTGCGTTGAGCTGTCCGTAGATATGTTTTAGTCTAGGGCTTTTTAATTTTAAATTGCATAATAGTTAAGGACTGTACAAAATTTAGGAAAAAATATTTATTTGCTACAAGTCAAACTGTACATTGTACATTTCTCAATTTTGCCTACAGGCAAATTTTTAACTGTAAAGCTATAAATCTGATGGTGTGTTACGGGCTTTAGGTTTTTGAGCCAAGATTTTTAAATTTTTTGATTAAATAGCACATAACTTTAACTGTGTCTTTAAATTTTTCGTTCCTCCGTTTAAGATATTTTCAAAAAACTCAACAACAAAGTTTTCACTTTAAAGAGATCTCCCAATAGTGGTTGACACGTTAAATTTACATTTTGTGTTTTTCGATATTGTTAGAAAGTCTAGTTATGATTAGTTACTAAGTGTTATGGATTTTGATTTTTAAAAGTTCTCCCTAAGTATCCAAACCTGAAATGGGTTGCTTCTGCGGCGTCCCCGGCACAAACTTTTTCAATACAAAAAAAATATTTCAGGGGAAGGAATTTATGTACAGTCATTTGTTTTTTATTTTATACATGGACTTTGGCCATGATTACATCCGCGTGAAACTAAAAAAGACTTAGTAAGTAGCGTATGCTAGATTGCAAACAGTTATCTTAGTATTGCAAATTTTGTGAACGAAGCACATATCGACTTTTGACCAATGACGTATTGAAATACGTAATCAACTCCCAATTTTATCTTTAATCGTCGTTATAACGAAAGTAACATCAAACATATTTCAGTTTATTTAATTGCTGGTGGTGTTCGAGTTTGGACATTTATGAGTGCTAGAAAATTTATAGTAACTTTAATAAACATTTCATAAATAAAATTTAAATCGTTACAAAGTAAAAAAAGTAGCTTAGTTAATTAAAAAATGAATAACGGTAATAAAAATGAAAACGATGGTAAAGTTGCATTCGAAACTGCATTAGATTTGGCGGGTAAGATAAATATAAAAAAGTTGGAATACAAAGTATGCCTTTCGTTACTCAGTGAAAGTGTAGCTTTGTAATAATATAGGAATTTTTTAAATTGACCCAGTTCTTAATCTTTGACTTTCGTTTCTTGCTCGGAATACAATCAAGGTAGAGTCGGGCTATTTGTTTTTTTTTTAATTCTCAATTATGGAATTATAACACACCACAAATTACTGACAGGTTTCGGTTTATACAACTATAACCTGACGGCACTAACTGGGTTCATCATCATCGCGTACGCGTGCATTGCGTTTGGCACCACTATCATCATCCCCGCGAGCGCCTGCGAGCTTGGCACCACCAGCGCGCAACAGGGACTCATCGCTGCTGGACCTTTAGTTGGTACGTAAAGTCACACAGTGGCAAACGTTACCATATTAGGTATGATCTATTGAAATTTAGGGATAGAAACAGTTGAATTCTACATAGAAAATGTCTTAACCGTCTGTGCAACTACTAAAACTCTAACGGCTGAAGTCATAGAAACCTCAATCCAACTTCGCGGATAGTTTTGTTCGGAGTTTTGTTATGTTTTTGGATTAACAGCCCTACCAGATCAAACAAAGTTATACATCGTATATCGCCCAATATAAAGTTATATAAGGTATTAGAATATATAATTTTTACATCTTTGATAATTTAATTCATTGCCCAGGTATAATCCTGGGCGGCGTGTTTGGCGGTTACCTGGGCGACAAGTTCGGTCGTCGGCGCATGCTGTTCGTGTCCCTGCTCTCCGCGTCCGTCGTCAACGCATTGGCCAGTATATCAGTAGACTGGATCATGTTGTTGATACTACAATCTATCGCCTCTTTTTGGTAAGTTAAACTGTAAAGTTCTCAGTGTTGTTTATAATAAATTAACACTGAATCTTGATCAATTATTTTTTAACTTGACTGCTTTTCCGGTGTAGTGCGGGAGGCAAGTACTCGTTGTCAATAACTATGCTCAGCGAGAGCGTGCCGATGGCCAAGCGGAACCTGGTCGTGTTACTAGTCACTAGCATATCCCTGCTGTCTCAGGGTATTATGGCAGGTATGGTATTGTTTAACTTTTTTTTTTTTT